ACTGAAAAGCATAAATTCTATATGTGGATTTTTCCTCAGTTTAATAATAACCATTTTTAAAGTCCCCCTTTCATCAACTACAACCAGAGGAAAGTGACCTGGAAAGCGAGGGAATCAGTCTACAAGGGATATGTTCACCTTGTTCCTAGAGAAAGACCCTTGAAAAGAACGGTCTCTTATTTTTTTCTTAATTCAAGAGAACTATAGACAGTTTCTAAGGTATTCATGTTTGAAGTTCCACACCAAACGGTAATGACATCTAAACTAGAAAGTGGTTTTAGACAGTTCTGATTGAATAGAAAGGGAAAAAGACTTCCAAAAAAAAAAAAAGTGCTATTTGCAGGGTTCCTTTTTTTTTTTTTCCTTCCTTTCAGAGTAGCAGGAGTTGAAAGGAGTTGTATAGGATTCTCTGACTGCAGAAAAGTTTTCAATCTCATAAGACTAGGAATGTGCTCAGAAGGAGCAGGCTGAGAGTGTAATTGGGGTCTGAGAGCCAGCCCTAGCTGGGAGTCACCCCCCCACCCACCCCCACCCCTGCAACCCCACAGCCCCACCCCAGGCACAATTCAGGGTAGGCTGTGAAATCCAGAGAGAAGAATCATCTGGGCAAAGGCTGCTTCTCATAACTTCTCCCTGCCACCCTTCCGAAGCTAAGGTGGGATCTGCAGTTGATTTAAGGATAATGAAGGCAACATGTTCCCTTGACAAAACCGTGCAGAGCCCATATCTAAATATGGTTGGTAACTGAACTATTGGGGACAGGGTAAGTGCACCTCTCAGTCCTAACCCTCAACCCCCTCAGTAGCAGTTCTCTTTTCCTGAGGGTTTGCCATCCAGAACTTTACTATGTTAAGAACATTCCCGTGTTGGGGAATGCCAGGTTCAACCAAATACAGTTTCCCTAGTACCTGTACCAATGCTCAGGCCAAGTGAGCCCATCTCCATTTGCCCTCCCGGTAGAGCAAGCACCTCCTGAGATGGCCTTTGCCAGAGCAGGGATTGCATAAATGGTGGCTCCCTGGCAGAGAAAAGAGTAAAGAATCAGCAAGTGGCTAGAGCTGGCCTCCCGCAGGGCTCCCTGGCGCCCCCCCCCCCCCAAACACACACACATAAGGATATTCCCCACATTCCTTTCACCAGGCGGAAATCAACTCTTCCACCACAGGCTCTGCTCCATTGAGCAAGGGTAATGGCTACTGGCTATCCTCACCTCCCCGTCATTTGTTTTCATCTGAGCAGATTGAACATCTCTAGGTTCAAGCCTGGAAAGTCAGAAAGAGAAGAAAAAGAGACCACAGAGGAAGGAATAAGGACAAACTGCAGAGGACAAACTTTGTTGCTAAACTTGGAGACCAGTCAGGGACTGCTGGGGCTTGAAAGGGAACCGTGGACGCTGAAGGAGGGATGAGTTCAAGGCAGAGGACAGCGGAAACCACGGTCCACAGGGCAAAGCAGCAGATGTAGAAAACCACCAGAAAATCTGGACAGCATCCCTCTGGGAAAAATCCAACCCCCTACCCACCAAAGCCCCTGCTGGAGGCCTCCTTTTTGTAGAGGAAAATAGGAAATAGCTAGATCAAGGGTACAACATGGGAATCCCCCAGCCTCTCAAACCCAACAGTAATAAAGGGTGATCACCAACCTTTGCTTCATCACAGGAAGCAGCCACACTCACCGTGGGCAGGCAGCAGCACTGACGTTTATCCGTAACTCAGCTAGAAAAAGGATGAGGTCGGTGCCTCCAGCCTCCTGCTTCCCAGAGGAAAACCCCCTCTGTCCTTAAGACAGAAGGAGACGAGAACCACCACCGAGGTTCCAGCCCCTGAAGTTTGGGCACCTCCAAAATGACATCCTCCTGTCAATGTTGGAGGCTTTGGGTTCCAGTTCTGAAACTGGAAAACGTGGAGTTCAGATTTCTGCTCCTCTAACAAGCTAAAATACCTTACACAGATTTCCTTCTCTCTTTGCTCCCAAAGCGTCTAAGACAAGTTGTTGGATACACACATGGGTTTAGAGCTGAGAGAATTAGAAGGAAGATATAAACTTAAGTCAGCTGTTAATGGAGTTAATTGAAGACACGGTTTAGGTGAGATTGCCGAGGGTATAGAGTGGCTAGAGAGCTCAGGAAAAAAAAACTGTCAAAAACTTGATCAAGGGCAATAGAGATTACTGAGAGTTCTGGTCACATCCTCGGGAAGTTCTTATTCTACAGATCTATGCACCATTGACTGTCTTCCTGTTGGCTAAAGTTATTTACAATTCTCTAGGGATAGAAGTTAATTTGTAGAAAACTGATAGAAATGCAGATGATTGTTGTCCATAGCACTGCAAATGGATTTTTGTCCTCATATAGATACCTTGTTGATTTTTAACCTGGTAGAAACAATGACCCCCAAGAATTATATTTTATTGTTCTATGAAATACTAACCATTTTGCATCTGTTAGCAAATTTAGTTCAGTATTCCGAGAACCTATGTGTCTGTGCTTTCAATTGTCCTTTGATCTGATTCTTAACATCTTTGTTAAGATTTCTTTGTTGATGAGTTACATAACGTCTTTGATGTGTTCCCTCTATATTTGTGTAAGACTTTCGATTTTACCTTTTGGAAAAATTAAACTTTAGCAGGACCAAGCCCTGGAGGAAACGCAACAGAACAGGGGGAGAAGCATGTTCTTGCAAAGTGGAGGAGGCAAAGGCAACCAGTGAAGGAGGAAAAAAAGCAGGAGTGTGTGGGCACGAAAGTCAAGGTAACACAGGGGTTTGGGATAAGGGGAGTGATCAACCAAATCCCAGAGGCACAGAATTAATTTTTCATCTCACTTGACCACACAACGCATGCAACACACTGCCCGCCCCACTGCCCTGCACCACCAATTCCTCCCAGGAGACAAGAGGCAACCTTTTCAAAGCACACACATCTTGTTATACCCTTCTCTAGGGAACAGGAGGCCTACTCCTCTGACATTTACATAACCATGGGAGCCTACTCAAGCATTCTCTGAAGAACAAGGAACATTTACTTCAAGGTGATTTTCTGTTCCCAGTTTGACTGTGAATCAGATGGCACTTTTTTTTTTTTTTTTGCAAAAGGGAAAAAAAAAAGACCTTAAATTTAATCTGTGAGTGCACCCCATTTAATAGAGTATACTAACGGCTACACGAACATCCTACGGCTTGTCCCACTACAATCACATCCTTGAAGACAATCAGTTGGCAAATTTGATCATTCCCATCATTTCCAGCTCACAGATGGAAAACTGAAAAGCAGGCAGCTGTGTTGGGAAAATGTGTAAATTACTCAGCCCCCTCAAACTGGCTTTAACTTTTGGAGGGAGCTGGTTGGCTCAATAAGCGTAAATTCCCTTTCATCTCAGGCTCCGACCTCCAGATAGACTGTATACATCCTAACAACAGTCATTCCCTGTCATTCCTCAAATTCTAGGATCTGAGGAAAAATTATCAAAATCCAGCCAATGGTTTTTAAAAAGCAAACCGTCCAGGTGTTCTCAATCCTTAAAAAAAAAAAAAAAAGCACAAGCCAGAAGGAAGATGCTCCCATTTTTAATCCTCATTTGTCCCCATGGAAGGGAAATCCCTCAACCACCAGCAGACAGACATCATTGGTTTTCATTTGCTGAGCACCCAATGGACGGATCAGCCTCTCCAATTCGGCCCCCCACTGCACCACCTGCCATGATCTTTCCACGTGTATCTGAAAATGACACTTTAGCTAACAAGCCTGAAGTTTTTCTGCTCATCAGAAGGGCTCTTTAAGAAATTACCCATTTGTCTAGAACTGTAGGCGGCTGCAGTCACTGCCATCCCAGATGGTCCCACTTTTCAGCACTACAGATCCTAGAAGAACATGACAGTACAATAGAACTCACACCTCAACATCCACCTTCTCCTTTGCAACCTGAAGGCAAGAAGTCCAAAACTTCCTGGTGGGTGTTTTCAAGCCTTTAAGCTCTTGGTACCTATCAAAGAATAAGCACACCCCAAATCCAGATGCCATTTGTGAGCACATGCCAATAATGCCTTTGGCAAATTTCAACAGATACTATTAAACTTTATGAAATGTTGGTGTAATTCTCCACAGTGGTCACAAGATGGCAGGCTTTAACCTCCTAAAGGAGCCCCACAGCTTTCCCACTTTGCAGCCTGCGGTGTTGGAGGCACACTGAAATGACAAGCTGTAGGCAGAGGCGTCTCTTCATTTATTAATATTCCCAGGCACAGCTTGAGGAGATCTCGCATCACTTTAGGGAGCTGATTTGTTTTGTCATTCATTTGGTTTAAGAAGAATAATTCCCTAATCATTTGTCAGGTGAGGTGATTTTAAATCTTAGTTCCTGCCCTCACAGAAAAAAATGTCTGCCTGAAAGATTCACAACAGGGAGATGTATATATGTGCAGAATTTTCACCTGCGTGTTAACAACAGAGTAATGTTGTTTTCCAGGGGTTTCAGGCAATACATAATTTGCCCACTGACAAAATAAATGTTGATATATATTATGAGAAGACACACACACACAAATCAGAGGGATAAAATCATATTAACAATAGCTCACAAATTCCGTTTCAAGTTTCAGTTATAATTATGTTTGCCTCAATCCTGATTTTTCTTTTTTACTTCTAATAACCCAGTCACCACCCAAAAGACTCAGGAAAACGCAGACGCAAGAATCTGTTTCAAGGTGTCCGGCCATATGTTCAAAAAGCAGAAAATTAGTTCCAAGTTGTTTCAAAAGAGAATTATGCACTGATACCCAGGGATAATCTACCAGTTGGGGAGGAGCCCCTGAAGAGGGGAGGCAGGGAACAAATAAGAACAGGGACTCACACTGGGTTCAGTAGTTACACAAACAGAAATAATAATGTAGGTTTCTTAGACAAAATGAAGAAGGCATTTGGTAGCATCTGAATCAAACAGATTTCAAAGCAGTAAGAATCAGGTAAGAGCAACAAATAGTTAATAAGGGACATTTTAGACTCACAATTAAGATATAATTTCCTTAGGGTCTTCAAAATAACAAGAGCTTCTAGAAGGTACTTAGCATGCAGACTTGGAGATTACTTGCACACTCCTGGGCGCATTCACAAGAGGCAGTAATTAGATTCTACCAGTTTCTTGTCCCAAGCAGTCTTGCACAGTGACCATTAACCTCTACCCCAGAGGTAGAAGAAGTGATCCAAGAATGCTGTCTGCACAGGTCAGGGCTCATAAAGACAGCAGCAATTAACCTCCCTCCAAGTGTGTGTGTGCTTGCGGGGGAGAGGGGCCGGAACTGCATTCGGCACATTAAAAAGCATTTATAAACAGTAGGTTCGAAGGGCTCAGGGGAAGAAGAACCTTGTAATGAATGATGGATATTAATGACCATTATTATCCTTCTCCTGACCCAAGGACTATTCCCTCAAGAATGTTTACTTAGTATGCAGAACTGGAGCCCCAACATGAGGGGTTCTGAAGCTCTGCTATGAATCCGCTCACTTTCAAGAGAAAGGAAACAGCTCCATGAAGTGAAGTCCTCTTCCTATAAATGAATATATATAAATGAACATTTTAAGGCCCCCATGTCCACCAGCAGAGCAGCAGATCGATTCTCCTCGTGGCGAATCACATCTCGGAGGGCATTAGGGCAGGTTTAACATGAACAAGCTATTGATTCCCCTTGTTACTTGGTTCGACTTCATTCCTTCAGATTGCCAAAGGCCTTTGTGACAACATAGGCTGTAGTGTGGAGGGCAGGAGGGAGCTCTAGTTTCTGGTCCTTTTTAGAGTTTTGAACTAACAATATCTCTGTGAAAAAAAGAGAATTCAATGAAAGCCTGTGAGGATGCCTGATCCTTTTCAGGCTTAATAAAGAGGGAGCTGCTTACTTTAGATGCACTGAGAGAAAGGACAGGCAGGCATTTGTTAGCGTTGGGTTTATTTTTTGTTAAAATTTCATAATTCACTAATACAGTCCTGTTAATATTTTATATTTTTTAAAAAAAGCATTCTGAGGAAAAGGGGAGCACCCTCTCTCACATACCTGCATCTCTCTCCTAATCCATAGGTGCCCTGCTGGTAGCACTAACACATAGATATGTTTAGGATTTTCCGTGCCTTTACATCCATATATACCTATATTGTTTTGTTTTTACAAAAATGGAACCAGAACTATGTGAGCTTTCTGTCACGGCAGCAAACGTCCAACAATAGTCAACTTATAAGGAAAATCTGATTTTGCTGGTGGATTTAGAGGTTCCAGTCCTTGGTTGCTTGGCCCTCTTGCTTTGGGCCTGTGGTAAGCAGAACATCATGAAAGGAACAAAAGGAGGAGCAAAGCTGCCTTCATCATGGCAGGTGGGACGCAGAGAGAGACAGGAGGGGCCAGGTTCCCAATCTCCCATTCGAGGGCGTGTTCCCAAGGAACTGACTTTCTTCTACTAGACCCCACCTCCTAAAGGTTTCAACACCTCCCTACAGTGTCACAGGCTAGCAACCAAATCTTTAGCAAAAGGGCCCTTAGGGGAGATTTATCCAAACCATAACAAAACCATTCATGTCATAGAACTTAATATGCCTTGGAGATCTTTCTATGTAGGGATAAAGGGAGGTCCCTGTACTTTTAACAGTTGCATAGTATCCCATGAAAGGGATACTTTTTTACTTAATCATTCTCCCACTGAGGACTTTTACCCCATGTCACTGAGACAGGTATAGATGAGGCTAAGAATGAGTGGGTGGACCTGGTGGAGCCTCCCAGTTAAAATAAAGTGTTGAAACTAATTAGTTGAACCCAGTTGCCTGAAGCCAGGGGAGGCACGAGGAGTGAATCCAGCAATAGACAGGGAGCGTTTACAGCCAACACCAGAGAAACAGAGACATTGGCAGAATCTAGAGTGAACAAAAACTTCTGCCTAAGCCCAGAGCCTGGAGAGAGAGAAAGGGAAAGAAGGGGAGGAAAATCTGAATTGCCTGAGTTATTTGAAAAAGGCTAAGTTCAACCAAAGACTCAAATTTGCTTTGAATTGGCAATATCAAGTTTATCGTGATCAATGAAAAGGAAAAACTGAGTGTTGTGTTAGTTTGCCAGGCTCCCAGAACAGCCACTGCAATCTGGGTGGCTTATACAACTGAAATTTATTATTTCAGAGTCCTGGAGGCTATAAGTGGGAGATTGACATGTCTATAAGGCAGAGGGGAGAGCCCAGGGTCATAAGCTCCAGTTCCGAGGGATGACTTACTTGATGACACCCATTACTGGCTGCTTTCCCTTCCCATCTCACCTCACTTCCCTCCTCCTTTACCGGTGTTCCCTGGCATCACCTCCCCAGTGAGCTACTCACACCCCAGCCTTTATCTCAGGGAGCACACAGCCAGGGACAGCTGCTTGCTAAACTGGATTGTCCCTACTTCACCAAGGTGTAGATTGTGGATTTGCTAAGGAATCTGCTCTGGGTTCAGCACTGTGTGGGCTGAGAGGGAACACAAAATGAATGGAAGACAATTTCTGAGACAGGCAGCAAGGTTTTTCTGAGAAAGAGAGTGCCAGTGTAGTGGAGATATTTTCTCCCCCATTCCTGCATTAGTTCTAAAAAGTGTGCCCTCTTGATATGTGAGTCCTTCTCCTCTACCTTCATCTTCTCTACTCTCTGTATGTCCCATTTACGGAAACAGGGAAGTGTCCTGAGCATGTGGCTAGCTCTCACTGACTCTCACTTGGACCAAGTCTGGACAGGCTCAGGTGGTTTCCTGCACACATCCCAGGATTCCATGCTGTAAACATCTACCTTTCCCCCTTGTGGAATCTAGCTTTTCTGCTGGTGACGGTCTCATCAGTTCAATTCAGAAGTCCGTTTTGTGCTGAGATCCATAGAGTTCTCTCTAGATTGGAATAAAGTCAGTACATTGAGCCCTTTTGGACTTCTATGCCTGGTTCTCATCTGGCTCAGGATCCACTTGGCTTTTGGCATAATTAATTGGCACTTTCAAACAATAACCATCATCAGATATGCTACTTTATCATGGGTCAGTGAGAGGAGGGCTAGTTCCCTTATTGCATTGGCAAAAGAAGTGTTTCACTGTTTCATTTTATGGACTAAAGATCAGATGGTCAATCCAAGAACAAATTGGTGGCAGCAGGTGGCAGAAATCATGCAGCCCAACTCCAGCTGCAAATATTTGGCCTCTCTTTGACTCATTTAATGAAGATCAGTTCCCCTCACCTTCCTGAACCACCTGCTCTGGAAAGAAGACCCACCAATTCGTAGCACGGGAAAGAGAATTACCTGCATGTCCTTAGGCAAGTCACTTCACCACTCAGGTTTGGACAGAGCCTGCCTCTTTTCTCCTGCCTACTTTCCTCCAAAAGTCTGCATTGCAAGATCCCCATGAGCAAACATACTTTTCTCTGCCAAGTCTTTGCCTCCAAATTGATCTCATGCTGTAGCCAGACCCCAAAGTGTCTCCCACCCAAATTCATCTCTACTGAGATTGATAATCCTAAACTCCTTCCAGCTCTAGGACGCTATGGTACCCTGTGCCCAGAATCCCCTATGCACAGGATATCTTAACCATTAAATTTCCCAGTCTAGGAGCCACTGCCCCACCCTAACATGAAGTTATAGAACTATAAATAATCCCCTAAAAACCTTACTTCTGCAGAGGTTAGACCCTAAAGGATCTGGGAAGACCCCCATTAGCCACCAAGTCCTAAAGGATTTGGGAAGACCCCCATTAGCCACCAAGTCCAAGATCCTGGGAGGCAAATGGGCAGTTACCACATGACAGATCCTGCACTGCAAAGGGTGGAGAACTGTGTCACCCAGGGTCAGACTGAGGAGACAAAGGAGGGACCAGGCCCACCCTTGCTATGCACACTCTTGCCTCATCACAAACTCATTTCTATGAGAAAGATGGGGGGCAGGGGAGAGAGAATGTTTGTCACAGTGAAATCATGTAAAACACCGTTTCTAAACCCCAGGCATTGGCCTACACTGTTCCACTGGGGTTGATTTGTATAACACCCAGAAAATGTAGACAGTGGGGGTTGGGGGTCACTGTCATGGGATTCAACCAGAAGGAAGCTCTCTCTATGCCTAGACATACATGACCTGACACTCCATGAAAGCTACTGGCTCCCCACTGAAGCAGAGCTCCAGAGGGGAACCCAGTAAAGAGCAGAACCACAGTAGAGAGATCAGAATAACTTGAACAATTCTGAGCTAGAAGAAAGAAAACTAATCAATTGTCCTTCTCTGTGAAATATGGACAATTCAATAAAGCAGATGTTTTTACCCCAAGGTAAACATGGGAAATGTCACTGATGATCTCAGTCCCAAAAGCTGATGTCATTCTGGCCTGGGGTCTTTTGACTGCTTTTTTCCTCCAGGCTGGACAAGGAGCCCTGGTAGCGGTCTTAGAATACCATTCTCTGCCTCCAGTGTAGTTATTGTGTTAATTTTACCTTTGGCCGGTGGTAAAAGCCTTGGACTGGGAGCTGGAAACCCTAACAGTCTTGGTTCATTGGTAAGAAGAAGGAAATCTTTAACCTATTCTAAATCCCATTTCCTTACTTCAAAAAGTAAATGGATAAACCAGAATATCTCTAAGGTTCCTTCCATCTCCTAAAATATCTCTACTTTTATTCATTTTAAAGATACACAATGGTTTAATTGCTTTCCTGGCCACATTCAGGAAGCACGGAAAGAGAGGCAAATAAAGAAGAATAACACCTTTTTCAAGACACCATTAAAAAGTAATTTATATTTCAAGACTTCCATTCTGTATTCTTGGAAAGCCTGAAAGAAATTCCTTTCTTTATCTGGTTGCCAGACAACCTCTCTATTGAGGCTTTCATTTCCCCTCCCCCACTTTTAAAAAAAGAAATAAAAATCTGGCTTTAGATACCCGGTTAGGAAGAAAGCTGATTTTAGGTGTCCCTCAAGAAAAGCATGAATTAGGGCTGCCCATCAGTAGTTTGATTGCAATTGAAAGACTGTAAGGGACACACTTGAAGACAGCTAATGAAACTAAAAATTGCTAGCAGATACCCAGTGTAGAAGAAGCTGTATAAAGGATGGATAATTAAATAGTACATTATATTTAGTTATTTCTATTTTGCAAAAATGTCTTCCCAAATAGCATTTCATCCTCATTTTTGCCTTTTGAGTAAGAAAGATAGTCTCTTTTTAACTGAG